ATATATACCATTTTTAGTTTATTTTTATAGAACTCCGTTATATGAGCAATATATATTATTTCACTTTATTCATTCCATCACAAAAAAAGTTACATTTCGTAGCCCGAAGGCCAAATTGTTTGCAAATACGTTTACAAAATACTGCAGCATAAAACTCCGGCAATCCACAAAATCATTATATAAAAATATATAGGCCTATAGCTATTGATAGATAGCATGCTGATAATGGGAGGACAAAAGGGTAGTCTAGGACATACTTAGCCTTTTAATGATTCGTGGTGTGAAATGGACATCAACATTTAAGTCTTATGCCTTGCTACAAAGAAACAAAACGGTACACGACTTGCTCTATAGCCGTGTCTCCTACTAACAAATTACAGAAGAAAAGAAGATAATTATCCTAATGACACTAAAGCGTTAATTGGTCTGTTGTTGGTAGTGTTAGGCCCAGTGCCTACAGACTGGAACTGCGCCGGTATTCATATGCTAATGCACAAATTGCCTCTCGTCGCCGGTAACTAAATGAGCAATAGATAGTCCTTTTAGGTAAAGAATGGCCTAGAAATGAAGATGCACAGTGTGCCCGAGACACATGTCGTTGTGGGACGACAGGCAGCGGCGTCTCACTGTATCCACATGAAGAACCACAAAATGCCACCCATCGAGAAATAAAAAATACATATTTTTGTTTTGTATAATAGTTACATCATTAGGAAGCTATTTCACCATTGACACCGCTAACTAATCAATTGGCTTCCTTCGTAAAACAATACGTCATTTAATGCCCACATCTGTGGCTTACTGTACATCAACATGGATGGACTTATCGAAGCTTGTTAATTAATCGAAATATTTAACTTTAAGCTTGAAATCATTTCTTTTTATCATTGATTTGGCAGTATGACATAAAGTGACTTTTTTAGGTTTGATTAGTGTATAATACATCCTATATCTTATTGATTTTTTTCGGCTGTTTATTGGTTTATCAACCATTATTCATGATCCATTCTTTAATAATAATAATAATAATAATAATAATAATAATAATAATAATAATAATAATAAGAGTAATAATATTATTCCTTTTATTATTATATTAGTAACATAAATAATAATGATAATATTATTATAATTAATAATGATAATGATGATCATATATATGTATATATATATATGTATATATTTGTATGTATATATATGTATATATATGTGTATATATATATATATACATATATATACATATGCATATACACATATATACATATATATACACATATATATCATACATATATATATATACATATACATATATATATATATACATATATATATATATATATAATCATCTTATAGAAAATTAAAAAATGCTACTAAAATGGAATTATTTATTACATTAAGATGATTATTACTGAAACCATTAAAATAGGTATGCCTATTTTATTTTTGTTCTGTTGCATCTGCTAGTTTATGTAAGCATGAGACAAATGCCTCAGTGTATACGTACGTATTTGTTTCTCTACTTCAAATTCTCATTTGCTTTGTATTTCTTTTGATATGGACATTGTCTGAAATAAAGAGAACTTGAATTGAAT